AATGGCTGCGTTCAGCAGACTCAACAGTTTTGCAACCGTTTTATGATTGTCTGCTGAGATAGGACCATTCTTCTAGACCTACAAGTATGATCCAATCAGCGCGAAGGAAACTTCCAACAGTTGCAAAACGAACGTTCTGCTGAACGCAGCCAATGCGTAGTCTGATTCCCGCCTCAGACTACGCATTGAATATTGAGATTGAAGATTGAAAGATTGAAATTTGACCAATCAAAACAATAGGAGCTAAAATTCCTTTGTCCTCACTGGTCAAATTTTAATCTTCAATCTCAATCTTCACTGCGTAGTCTGATTCCGGCCTGATGCGGGGTCTACAATAGAAGTCATAGCGGTCGTAGCGTCTTAAGTCATAGAAAATTGACCAATCACAGTTGGATTATTTTTCTCATATTTGACTGTGATTGGTCAATTTTCTACGACTTAAGACCCTACGACTGCTACGACTTCTATGATAGACCCCGCATTACACAGTTCTCGCAAAAATATCTTTAAGGCCGGAATCAGACTACGCAGTGAAGATTGAGATTGAAGATTAAAATTTGACCAGTGAGGACAAAGGAATTTTAGCTCCTATTGTTTTGATTGGTCAAATTTCAATCTTTCAATCTTCAATGCGTAGTCTGATTTCGACCTAAGTCCGGATCTACAATAGTTTTAAGTCTAATGCGGGGTCTACAATAGAAAACCCCGCATTACACAGTTCTCGCAAAAATATCTTTAAGGCCGGAATCAGACTACGCATTGAAGATGGAGATTAAAGATTGAAGATTAAAATTTGACTAGTAAGGAATTTTAGCTCCTATTGTTTTGATTGGTCAAATTTCAATCTTTCAATCTTCAATGCGTAGTCTGATTTCGACCTAAGTCCGGATCTACAATAGTTTTAAGTCTAATGCGGGGTCTACAATAGAAGTCGTAGCGGTCGTAGAGTATAAGTCGTAGAAAATTGACCAATCACAGTCGAATATGAAAAGAATAATCAACTGTGATTGGTCAATTTTCTACGACTTAAGACCTTACGACTGCTACGACTTCTATTGTAGACCCCGCATTAAGCCATAAGAAATGGACGAATCACAGTCGATTATTCTTTTCGGATTCGACTGTAATTGGTCAATTTCTTACGGCTTAAGACTTAAAACACCTATTGTAGATCCGGGGTAAGAAGTTTTAGGACAGTATTCGTGGAGTCCGTTCTTATTTCAAGACTGTCTTAAGCATTGCTTAAGATGCTAATATGATCCTCTGATTGATTCATAACATCTTAAGATTATACTTAAGACGATCTTAAATGTAAGAACTGACTATGAATACTGGCCTTTAAACGTCTCGAATTTGGACTTTTGTTTTCTGAGTATAAGCCTCTTTGGTATAAAATAAATTAAAATAAAACAAAAACTCTAAAAAATTTTATATACGTTCCATTTTAATGTTTTTAAATTTATTGGAAAATATACAATTATTTGACAAATAGTCTATATTTGATAATAGTCTATGAATTATTACAGTTTCTCATTGAGGTAATATATATATACAATTTTGTTATATAACATACATCACGCATTTTTCTGTAAGATGATCTAAGTTTTTGATAACAATGCCATCTATTAAAGTCGTTATATACATAGAAGTATACATATTTTTATATCACAGATCCACTTTATCCTGTAAAATATACAGCATTTTTTACTAATATTGATTAAATTTCCAAACGACTAAAATCTAATTTTCATGAATTTAATTGGAAATTTATTTGGACTTATAAAATCAAACATACAGGTAGGATCTGGAACAATATTAATAAGTCTCGAAAATCCGATTAAAAACCTCAAATTTGTCAAAAATATTAATATTAAGTTAACTACAGTATAATTATAATTAATTTAAATAGCATTATAATTAAATAAAAGATCAAATTGGTAGCCAATTTAAATTGGTCAAAATTTTAATCAGAATTGAAAATAAATTATATCTATCTTTTCTATTTGAGCAGAAAAAATAATTCATATTAAATAACGTGAATAATTAATCAAGTTATTGATAGCATAGTGACTAGATTTCAAGAAATAAGACTTCCATGAAAACTAGACTGAAGACCTTCGTGAAAACAACTTAATAGAAACATTAAAAAGTTGTTTGCCCATAGATTAATATATATTATCTCTAAATTTTCCCAAAATTTACATTACAATGCACGCTTACAAATCTCTTAGTATATAACTCTCATTTTTCTGAATACTGTAGCAATTTTTAAATTGTGTCATAATTAATATGCAATTCTGCATAGCAATATACAAAATTAATGATGTATAAATCTCTCTTATGTAGTACATTTTTAGAAAAAACTAAGAATTAAAAAATTTGTCAATTTAATCCTCGATGCCTTCTCTTCATTCTTGCATACGGTCCGATTTCAGGATCCATCACAAAATCGTACAAAACAGAAACCCATGAATTGTGCTGTGGTAAATCATCGTAAAATTCTGCGGCTATACGTTTTACCTATGTAAAAAAAGTTGTGTGAAATAATAAACAAGTTATATTACTGTATAACAATTACATCTAAGCTATAGTGAATGTTTTAACATACTTCTGGTAATCTCGAACCAGGCACTGCAGGGAAGTCATGATGTTCATTGTGGTATCCAACATTAAAAGTAATGAAATTTAGAGGACCATAGTAACTGTAAGTCTCAAAACCTTTTTTGTACATGTAATGTTCGGATATAAAATGACCTGCTACAGGATGTAATCCCATTGCCATAACAGAGCCAAATAGCAAATAAAATAGTACTTTACCACCTAAAAATTAGATTTTAATTTTATTAGTAATTGAATTTCACGATTTCTAATTTATATCACTAATTTATATCATTAATATAAATTGCATCTTGATTTTTCACAAATTTTGAAACTTACCGAAAAAATACCATACACAACCATCAAATATCAATTGTATAACTAAATTTATATATTCTAATTGAATTGGTGCTTTTGGATAAGTTACAAGAGGTCGAAATGAATAAAAAAAAGGTTGTAGCAGTATCCAACAGAACTTTCCAAAAGTTGTACAAAATAATTTTGCTTCTAATAATGTTGGTAAGTCTGTATCTAATTTTTCATCTCCCTGATACTAAAAATGCAAAAAGTATACTTAAGTATAATTCAAAATATATTAAATTACTAGATAATGCAACATGTAATATCAATTTTCATCATTTCTTGCGATACTCACACGATGGTGCTCGAGATGATATTTCTTAAAACTGATAGATACTGGTATTCCTATTGGCAGATTTGCAAAAAAACCAAATACTCGATTAGCCATAGGCCTGGCATGTCCAAAGGCAAGATTATGAGATATTTCATGTATTGCTGCAAAACAAACCATAACACAAATTAGCACAATACATATATCAGAAAATGTTAATGTATTAAACATTAGCATGATGCTTGATAAATTATAACCTTACTATATTAATGAATAAAATGTATACATACCAAGCATAAGAGAGTGGTTTATTACACCTCCAAAGCAATATGCTAATAGCAAGAGTTTGGGATAACTTAAATCTTTAATAATAAAGAATGATAGGAACTGTACTAATATCATCCCAGTAACAACCCATTTGAAATTTGGATCATATCCAAACAACTGCTTAATTTGTGGATATTTCTCTAAAATAAAAAGTCATAATTAAAAATCATAATTAAAAAAATTATTTTATTAAATTAATATGTTTTAATATTATTTAAATATAAGTATATATTTAATTTTACTGTATAAAGTATAAAATTTGATAAACTACATGAAAATCATCATAAAATACATTTCTAAAATAATATTGTTTTAATTAGACAAATTTGTTGAATTTTTTCTATCACACATACAGTCAAATATAAATTTATACAATATCAAATAATTACGATAAACTGACTTGGTTGTGTTATTCATGTATCAGTCTAATGTCATTTACTGTTGAATAAACTGATATCTAAATATATCTCAAAAATGATACTTTATGTTTTAAACAACAATGAATTAAAAATATCATAAACATTTATAAATTAAATTAATAATGTTTTGCGGTACTATTTTCATATCCAAAGTATTATTTTATCATAAAGATATTCGAGTAGATGGTCCTCAGAATAGGCGTGGTTATGCATACATGTCTTTCCAATTTTACAATTACGTGTCTCACATTCCGAGAGCAGCATTCAAATATTTACAATAAAATAAAAATAATCATCAAATATCACACATCCTGGTCTTCTCGTGAGTTTCATACCTAGAATTATTTTACGTCGCGAGGCATGCGGTTCCTCGGTATAAACCCATTCGAAATCCGTTCTTGAGACCCGTTGACCCATTCTTCTATGATGATTTTTGTACAAAAGATGAAATTAATCCCAGCGATGGCTAAAGCTGAGTGGCATTATCAACGACAATCAAGGCAAGAAATAAATGCGTATGTAACGCTCTTGAAATCACGACTTCGTCACATTACCTAGATGTCCGAGATAATATTGCCGGTCCTTTTTTTTAATACTTGCTGTTATACAAGGTGTCCGGATATTACCGGATACGTTATTAGTCATGCATTTTGCGTTGGGTAAATATGGAGGCGCTTGTTAAGGCCGGAATCAGACTACGCATTGAAGATTGAGAGCGAAGATTGAAGATTGAAATTTGATCAATGAGGGCAAAGGAATTTTAGCTCCTATTGTTTTGATTGCTCAAATTTCAATCTTTCAATCTTCAATCTCAATCTTCAATGCCTAGTCTGATTCCGGCCTAAGTCAAGTTAAAATTGTGAAATAGATTTGCGGATTTTGGAAAAAAATTCCGAAATTTGCAAATTCACATCGACGCGTCTCAATTACGGAACTAATCATTTATTGTCTTAAATTAATTTTTTTTTATATTATTAATTTAGAATCGGAATGTAGAATTATTATATGCTACTCGTTTACATCAGACTCAAATCGCCAAAATCGTCCCGTCAACGACGATTATTTTCTTTTTTCATAATTTCCTTGTAAGAAGTTTAAATCGTTCGATAATATTTTAGGACATTCTGTATACAAAATCGTCTACATATACAGTTATAATGGATGTGGCTGTAATCTTATGCGAAACGTGTCTACTACACATATACGGAGATAAATACTGATAAAATTTATAAGGCAGCTGCGCTAATATCCACTTCAATCGACTCTTTCAGATATCTCACTAATCACGCACGTGAATAAAAAAAAGTTTTATTAAAATATGTATACGATAAATAGTCGAGTGGGAGTAAGATAAAAGAGCAGTCGTTAAAGTCTTAAACACAATACACATAGGCACAGGCAACAGGGAATAACGAGCCGTCCCCAATCACAGTTCTGGGATATAATATCGAACTTATACTCCAGAGCTCTGATTGGACGGCTCGTTATTCCTTGTTGCCTGTGCCTATTGCCTGTGTCTATTGTGTTTCCAGCTTAAAGCCCATGGCACATACAAAAACGTAAGGCCAGTAGCGAATCCAATCTTATGCATGGTCTACAATGGCAGTATCAGTAATGAATGAGGCTGTAAGAGTAAGAAATTGACCAATTACAGTCGATTATTCTTCTTACATTCAACTGTAATTGGTCAATTTGTTACTCTTACAGTCTCATCCACTACTGCTACTGCCATTGTAGACCATGCATTACGATTTCTTTACTGTTTACGTATTAAGGCCTTACGTTTTTGTATGTGCCATGGCCCTTACAACCGCTCAATGAGCGCTCAGTAAGCGCTTGCATTTTATTGGCATATTCCGTTAGAACTAAAAATATAGACCAAACAGATACAAGAGCTCACTGAGCGCTCAGTGAGCGATCGTGGCTGAATGCAGCTGAATGCATCCTTTGAGCGTTTCAAGACGGCAAAGCGACTATGGCTGCGGTCCACTTGACGCTACAAACGCTTCGAAGCATTCTTTGATTAGTCAATTCGTAAAATTCTTTGTTCTGATTGGTCGTTCAAACGCTTCAAAGCGTTTGTAGCGTCAAGTGGACCGCAGCCTAAATGCTTACCGAGCGATTGAATATAATTGGTTGGATCTATAAGTAACAATCAATTATGTTATTTGCTCGGCGAGCTAGCTAGCCGCTTTGTCAACTTGAACGCGTCCATTCTCGCATGTTCTCTAGCTATTGTTTCGTCTAAGGATACATTGGGCGCATTCAGCGGACTCAACAGTTGAGTGAGCGCTCGCTGTTAATAGCTGCGTTCAGCAGACTCAACAGTTTTGCAACCGTTTTATAATTGTCTGCTGAGATAGGACCATTCTTCTAGATCTAAAAGTATGATCCAATCA